TTTTACTTGAAGTGGATGGTTGTACAAATTACACAGTCCTGAGTGAAGCAGACCGCGCTCAAGGAAACACAGAACCTCAGTACAGATATGATAGAGACCTGGCAACGGGTTGGTATCGTTTCCAAGGAGCTGCCGGGGATCAAATGTCGGACAAATGTGTTCTTAAGTATCGCTGCGGTACTAAGCGTCCAGGTTGGCTTAATGGTGTACACCCGACAGTCGCTGAAGGAGTAGTGACACGTCAAGTCTGTTACAGTGTATCCCACGACTGCTGTTTTTGGAATAACAGCATTAAAGTGAAGAACTGCAGCTCTTACTACGTGTATGAGTTGCAGAGGACATGTTTCTTGTGTNTTTGGAATAACAGCATTAAAGTGAAGAACTGCAGCTCTTACTACGTGTATGAGTTACAGAGGACATGTTTCTTGTGTCGGTATTGTGGTAACGCCGGCGCTGGTAAGTTGCATTGATCAGTTGTGTCAATAGCCAACCTGAATGACTGAAAATATACCATGAGCCTGAAATACGTTGGCATACCTAGAATGTCAGACAAAATAAGAATAAATAAGCTAATATGACAAACCTGAACAAAAATAAAGATTAGATACCCCACAAAAAGGAATATAATTTTGTCATAACTGTAACTAACTGGTTTGTTCTTACTTGAAGTAGATGGTTGTACAAATTACACAGTCCTGAGTGAAGCAGACGGTCGCCTCGTTAATGCGGCCAAGTCACCTCGTTATTACGGCCGCTTTATTCTGGCCCGAGGTTAAAGTGGTTCCCTATAGTTTTACGGTCGCACGCGCGCTGAGGACGAAAGTTTAAGTAATCTGCGCGCGCTCGAAGGAAAACGGCACTGTTTTTCGATATTTTATTTGGTCAACATGAGCACAACAAGCAAAACTGACAGTGAATTTTCTCGCGTTTCCTTCGGTGAAATTCCGTAAAACTTGGTAGATTGGTAGTAAATGTTTTACTTTAGTCGGAGCTCGTTTTCCAGGGAAATGTGTAAGAAAGGTTTTCTCGCAGCGGTAAAAGATGTAAATTTGCAAAAATTGAAAAACCTGCCTTTACAAATCCTACTTTTTTCGTTTTCAAAATTCGTATTCCGCAGGAAGCGATATGATGTGAAAATTTGGGAAGATTTCACCCAAGAATATTCAAGAAAATCGCAAGTAAAGCCATAAAAAAGTAAAAAAAAAAGAAAATATTTGTTTGGGCATTTATAATTCAAGACTATTTAACAAAACTAAAACACTATTTAATAATTGCTTGTTACATGTAATTAGTTTGAGAGGACAGGTTGTAAAAACGAATGCAAAAATGGCATTCAAAAAATAACACTTGCGCGCGCAACGCCATAAATGATTATCCTCTGGAGCCACCCTAAAAAGCCCAGTCTATCGTTGTCTTATTTAAAGAAAGTCCTTTAGCACAGTCACCCCGTTAATATGGGCAGATTTTTGTGGCCCAATGGTGACCGGATTAAAGGGGTTCCACTCAGTCTAGAACGATATCTAAGAACAAGTATCAAGATTTGATTTAACATTGATGGGAAAAAACTATATAAGGTTAGCTAATGATTTTGGTAAACATAATATTTTTGGACAAAGCAGAATAGAATAAGAAAAATAAAGGGGTCATGTTGTAGCTCTCGCAAGGTCTCACACGAATGGCTTGAAACCCGTTGAGAGGACAATAGAACAAACAACA